TGATAATTAGGGGCTACTTTTGAGAAATGGAAGGATGGCTTCAATTGGTGCTGGAGTTTTCCAAAATTGGTCAGGTTCATCATCTGTCTCCTTGCAAATACAGGCAGCTCCTTGAAAAAACACAGTCAGAATGTAAGGAGAAATGTGGATAGCTCTAAATAAAATTATAAAAACTTAAAGTCTTCCTCAGGTTCAGTTGGTTATGTAGTTTTTAAACAATTTTTACTACATAGATGGGATAAGAACTATAATAATATCTTTATTAATACTAAATTGTAGTTTCACCAGAGAGGAGTAAGGTCGTATTTGCTTAGCTGTTGTTTCTACAAAGTCTTACCTTATGTACACATTCTCCTTATAGATTCAACGAAAGCTTAAATTAATATCCTAGGAATGTGACTTGTCTGAAAATAATCTAGAGGGAAATTTGTATGGTTAAGTGGACATGCCTTGCTTGTATTTTTTAAAGAAGTTATGGTTTCATTCAAAACTTGCAATGACGTTAGGAAATTTTTAAAAAATCAAATCCAGTAACCTAGTATTATGTCTGTTTTATCTTTTAAAAGAATTTGGATTAATGACTTTAATATTTAAATTATACTTTACTGCCCTCAGGAGAACATCATCAGATTTCAGGTCAGTTTTTATCACATGCTCATGCCTCTGTGAAATCAAAAGAACATAGGTAATTTTAAAAATTTAAAATCACAATAAGCAATAAATTACATTTTCCAAAACTAGGCTATATATCAGTCTCCAAGTAATCCATGGCTATATTCTTTAAAGGAAGTTAAATAAAGTTCATTCGCCTTTCCAAACAACTATGAATTGAACCAAAATGAATGCTTTTGGAGCCAAAAATATGTTCACTCCAATATGCAGTGTTGCATGTATTTTACGACCCTGCGGGATGCTGAAATCTTTTAAGTGTGGGAATCTACCAAAATGGAAAATGCTGTTCTGTCCCCAGAAAGTGTAAGTCTGTGAAAGAAGGCACTTTCTCTCGTGGCGCACTTAAAATTACTGCATGTTCACTAAGCTCTTATTAGAGTGTAAAATTCAGCAGTAAGGGTATGTTTGCCAAAACCTATAAGGCTGGCCTTGTAAGGATAATGTCCCTCTTTATAGCTCATTCATTTATATTAATCAGATCCTCCCAGTATCTTAGCCCATTCTATCTTCAACTACCTTGGCATTTATTGATTTAGGTAGCTACCTTCAAAGCAGTAGTCCTCTGTTTATCAGAGAAAAAAGAATTAAACTTTTGTTGAAAACAAAACCCATTCAATGCCCAGCCCTATATGGACATTGGAGATACAGGGCTGGTTAGGACATAAATCATGTTGCCAAAACATTATGGTCTCAGGTCCTCAGGGAGCATAAAGAGTGAGTTTTGGAACGTGGATCCCATTCTTTTTGGAAGCAACATGGCTTAGAACAGAAAGTATCAGTATCAGTAGTTGGTGATGCGAGTTGCTTAGATACCACCGCGTCACTTAGCGTGAGATGCTTACACTGTCTGGGTCCCAGTCTTCACATTTGGGAAGTGATTTCTCCAGGCTAAACTGGTATCTTCTACTATATCCTGTAACACTGAGCTAAAGAATAGAATCTTCTTTCCAAGTTGAAAAAGCACTCCTCGAGACAATAAATGAATCGAGTGAAAGGAGATTTTCTCTTATCAAAGTCAGGAGTGATGGGCCCAGAGGCCAGCTTCTCCTACCATTTCTGCCCTTATGTCTCCAGCCACAGCCGCAATCTGAAGTTTTCTGAAGGGCTGAGACTTCTGTGGTACCCATCTGAAAAACCACTGGATTTCACCATCTTTTAGGACTCGTCTTAGAGCTGCACAGTCAAAAGTTTAAGTACAGCGAAAGGCATTTAAAGTAGTGAAATTTGATCTCCTAAATTGCATTTGAGGAATCAGTGTACTTTCTAAAAGGCTTGCCTTTCCCAGAGTGAATAATTTACACAGAAGAACTTGCTGACCAGTTAGCTCACAGTTGACTTGCTTTAATCTGGGAGAACAGCAACTTGCCCTCCCAGGGTGGTGGATTTACCAGATCTTTTCACTTCTTTCTGGGTGTTTTCTAGTGCAAGGCAGGGGTAGTGCAGTCCTGGGAAAAAATGGGCTGCTGTCAGTTAACCCCAAGAAATCAGTGCGTGGCCTGACACCAAATAAAAGTGTCTTCTGTTTCTGATTATTTGTATATGTTGAGACTTTATAGAATGTCTTCATAGGGAAGCTTAGTTTAAACTAAATGGAAAACAGACTTTCATTTTTATCACTGAGTCACATGCCCACCCAATTTTCAAATGCGGCCTCTGTTACGAACCCGCCTTCTCCTTGGAACCTGAACTCGAC